CGTTACACGCCGAAGCGTTACACGCCGAAGCGTTACACGCCGAAGCGTTACACGCCGAAGCGTTACACGCCGAAGCGTTACACGCCGAAGCGTTAAATGTCGGTGCTTTAAACGCCGCCGTTGCTGTAACATGGTTAATTGTTGGCTCTGAGCGTTACGTGAGAGTTTGGAGTAAAAGCTCAACGCTATACATATTAGTCATCTGCTTTCACGTTAGCGTTAGCGTTAACGTTTTTTTCCGTGTAGGACGCTAGCCTGTCGGCGAGCATCGATTGCACTCTTTGTTTGCCTTATTTCATTTGTTCCTCGCGGAGCTCGTCATAGCCCAGGACACGAAGGTTTTATTGCTAAATAAAATTGTAGAAAGCTAAATTTTGGTACACTGATAGATTTGCGTGTCCGGATTTACCTTGATTTTAGTCCCCGGTGCAACCCGAGATATTGAACAAAAGGGGCCTAAATGCAGGGTTTTGGTGTATTAGCGATAGCTTCGAAACTATTCGTGCGATAAAGACGAGACAAGTGTCAACGTGTCCGGGAAGAAACGCAGAACACGCTCTCATCAACAGTCAGCCCGCCGAAAAACCATTTCTGACCAAAACCATGAGAAGAATAGAAACTATTTGTTTTCCCTTGTTCAATTTTATAAATCTCACATCATATCTTTTAAACGAGGAGGCAAACGACAATATTGCTCCGAGAGAAAGCTGTGCGCCCATCTTTCTTCTCCATGTCGGTTTTTTCTCGTTTGCTGTAGCTCTAACCGTTCACGTTCAAATCGCCTAAAACTGGGGCCGTGCAGAGCCTCCCGGCGGCCCGCCGCAGCACCCCGCCCACCCGCTCCTCCCCCCGACTGTTGATGAGAGCGTGTTCTGCGTTTCTTCCCGGACACGTTGACACTTGTCTCGTCTGCTTTATCACACGAATAGTTTCGAAGCTATCGCTAATACACCAAAACCCTGCATTTAGGCCCCTTTTGTTCAATATCTCGGGTTGCACACCTCTGATCGCCGGGGACTAAAATCGAGGTAAATCCGGACACGCAAATCTATCAGTGTACCAAAATTTATCTTTCTACAATTTTATTTAGCAGGCCTTTTTCTGCATTGGTGTCCTGGGCTATCAACAGGCTGGTCCGAAACTTTGGCGCACGGAAAATAAAGATTGTCTGTCAGAGCTATGAGATTAGTTGATTTGGAGACAGCCAATACACGCTAAATGTATTTGTATGTTTTTGTGCAAACTTTCGTGCTAAGTTAAACCTACGTTTCATTTTGTACAAATTTGTGCGCATAAGAGCATGATTTCGTACAAATGGATATGCACAAAAGTGTTCAAATAAACGCAGAAATTAATGTGTGCAAAAAATTTGATTGCTTAAATTCGTACAAATAATAGATACACACTAAATGTTTAGGGCTTTTTAAAGGTTCATAATTGTAGATATTTCTTTTAGTCCGCAAGCTTAACTTACAATTTTATGCACGTTTCCTTGCATACATGTACCGGGTGTAACTGAGAATGCGCAACAGTGTTGCGGGATTGCATACCCGCCAGGGCTGCAGGGGCCATAGCGCCTTACGGGCTAACTGGGTAGGCA